CGGGATATAATTTCAAACTATATCCCGTTCGGGATATAAAAAAAATTTTGCTGCAAAAAATGATATCCCAATCGGGATATATATCCCGATTGGGAGTATATCCCGATCGGGATATGTCTCCACACTGTCAATCATTAAAAACATAATATAACTCAGCATTGAAAGAAGTCTATTGTATAAAAGAAAATGCGTATACACATGTCTATACGTATTAGCACTAAATTTCTCATAGCCAGCAACCTACTGAAAGTATGACTTCTATGATAAAGTATCGCTTTTTTATTGAAATACTATATGCAAGGTGACTTTGCCCTATCTAACGATGTGTGTGTTTCTCAAAACGTTTTTTTTTGCTAAAACAGACTATTCAGCTGAGATGGTATGGGAATGGAGGCTCAATAGAAATAAAATATTTTCACCTTTTTTAGTTTATAAAATTACCTGTCAGTATTAGCAAAATAAGTATTTAAAATGTCTGAAAACAACAACGCAACCAACGGGGGCGATGGTAAAAAAACAACTGTGGATATTCCTGAAGGTGGTGTGAAATCCATTAGAGTTGAGGATTTATATGACAAAGAAAAGTTTGATCTATCAACAATGGATTCTTCAGATGTGTTTAAACTACTTGAGTGAGTTCTGATATTTTAAATATGGACAAAACTCTATAAATAAGTATACATAACTGAATATTTTTATCCTTTCAGAACGACACCTGATGGTCTTTCAAGCGATGAAGTCGAGGAGAGATTTGAAAAGGTATATTTATGTTTTTTCTCAATTTGTGTTTGCTATTTTGTGTTTAATATTTTAATAATATTGTGTTTAATATTTTGTTTAATTTACATTTTAGTTTGGTCATAATCGTTTGGAACAGAAAGAACAAAGTCCCATCCTACAGTTTTTACTATTTATGTGGAATCCATTATCATGGTGAGGATTTGAACCTATTAACTTTATTTCTATCAAAAATCTTTTGGGCTTTAGGGTTATGGAAGCAGCCGCTCTGGTCGCAATCGCATTATCAAATGGCGGAGGTCAGCCACCCGATTGGGAAGATTTTGTCGGCATCGTACTTCTTTTACTTGCCAATTCAATTATTGGATTTGTTGAACAAAGAAAGGCTGGAAATGCCGTTAAAGCATTGATGGAAGCGTTAGCACCGTCAGCAAAAGTGAAAAGAAATGGAAAATGGGAGACTATTGATGCAGCTGATCTTGTGCCTGGAGATATTATTAGTGTGAAACTAGGCGATATTATACCAGCAGATGGCAGATTAATTTCAGCTCATGGTAGTGTATCCATTGATCAAGCAGCATTAACTGGAGAATCGGTAAGGAATAATCAGTATTATTTCATACATTGAATACTCCGCTAATGATTTTTTCAATTTTAGTTACCGGTTACTAAAGAAATTGGGGATGAAATCTTCTCTGGTTCAACATGTAAACAGGGTGAAGCAGATGCGATTGTTATTGGCACTGGAACAAACACATTTTTTGGACGTGCTGCTAAACTTGTCGGTGGTGCACATGATGAAACTGGCCATTTACAACACATTTTAGGTCAGATTGGATGGTTTTGCATAGGTAGTATAACAATATTCGTTATAGCTGAAATATTAGTCATGTATGCCGGTTTTCGCTACGCTTATCGTCGGGGTATTAACAATATACTTGTGTTACTTATCGGAGGAATACCAATAGCAATGTAAGTGTAAAACATATGATGAATATTGTTCTTAAATACTTTATCTTCAAGGCCTACTGTGTTATCTGTCACGCTCGCCATTGGCGCTAAACAGCTCTCTGAACACAAGGCGATCGTCACACATATACAAGCCATCGAGGAATTGGCTGCTGTCAGTATACTTTGTTCTGATAAAACTGGTACATTGACACTGAACAAATTAGTTATTGATAAAGATACAATCAAACAATATTCAGATGTTACCGGAGACGATATTATTCGTTATGCAGCATACGCGTGTCGATCAGATAATCAAGATGCCATTGATGCATGTGTAACAACAACAGTTGGTAACCCGAAAAACATTCGTGATGGAATTGAAGAATTGTTTTTTAAACCGTTTAATCCCACCGATAAACGTACAGAAATTACCTATAAACTGTTGTCCAATGGTAGTGTACATCGTGTTACGAAAGGGATGTCACATTTTATATTAGATTTATGTACACGGGACAAAGACGCTGCTCAAATTAAACAATTAAACGATGATGTTGATGAATTTGCGAGAAGAGGTTTAAGAGCGTTGGCAGTGGCCATTGATCAGGTACCATCAGGAACAGCGGATGGTGAAGGGTTAGGATTTAAATTAATTGGACTATTGCCAATATATGATCCACCACGATCAGACACTAAAGAAACAATAGAACGAGCCATCGAATTAGGTTAGATATTGATTGCAACGGATGTATCATAATGAATGATATCCACCACATTTTCTATTTTCTCTTGTTCTTTTAGATCTATAGGGCAAATATTTTTCCTAAAGGATACGCAGTGAAATTCTCTATTAGAAGTTTTGGTTTATGATAAACACAAGAAAACCTAGAAGAAAAACTTTGAAAGGCGCTAAAGCGATCAACTTTCCGAGTGAATGTACTTTTGTACGGGTACTCAGACAAGCATTTATGGATTTAATGTCCAGAGTACTTGGAGTTTTTTGCCAGTAGAAAAGGTACTTATCAAGTAATTTAACAAATATAAGTACTTGATAAGTACTTCATCAAGTATTTGCTCGGTAACTTGGTAAGTACTTGCGAAATATATGCAAGTATCCGAAGTTCTTCCGAATACATGGCACGTATTAAATCTAAAAATGCTTGATATGTGCCTTGCTAAGTACTTTAAGAAATTTGCAATTAGCTAAGTACTTGATCTCAAGTGCATTCACTAGGGTTATAACTTAAAAACGGATTTCCTTCGTTTCTGCAATTGAAACATCAAACCAACCCTCTTGTAGCTCGTGAAAAACTCTACCTTTTAGCTACTATACTTTACTATACTATACTTTAAATTTTTTGACGTCAAAACTCATCGCCGAATAAACGGTATTCGTAAAATTTTTGGCATTTTTTTCTGTCAGAAACTTGTTCGTCCCTCCGTGTTTCGTGCTTCCCATAAAACTCTTATGACTCAGCCGGAAATCAAGCTTTTGGACCACATAGCTGAGACGTGCATACATTTTCGAATTCTCACAGTTCAACAGAAAGTAGAGAAAACTGTCCTTTTCTGGTCAGTTATCGGGCCTTCGGTTCATGTACCACGCCTTCAACTTTAGATTCCTCTTATAGGCCATGAGAAAGTGCACATTGGATACCACAGAAAAAAAATTTTAAGACTTTCTAATTAATGTCGAACTACGAGAAAAACATAACTTTTATTTAATGAGAGACAAGTTTATAATGTTGGTCGCATTGGCGCCTTTCAAAGTTTTTCGCCTAGGTTTTCTTGTGTTCGTCATAAACCAAAACCTCTCACATATTCTAATAGAGAATTTCATGATACATGTTTTAGAGAAAACATTAACCCTATGAACCTAAAGAAATAAGAGTAAAATAGGGGGGGGGGGGGGGGGTACGAAAAACATTTTCACCGTGGGAGCAAAAAGCCGGATGTGTACACATCCTCTCATACATCCAAAATTTAGGGCTCTGGATATCATGCATTATGGTACACCCGTGAGTTCATCATACATCATCAGTACTGAGCGACTCATTTATTTAGGTGTAAAAGTCAAAATGATTACCGGTGATCAGTTGGCCATTGCAAAAGAAACGGGACGTCGTTTGGGTAGGATAAGACTCGAATTATTTCATGCAGATATTCGCTCTTCCCAGACGATTTTGTATAAAAAGCGATTCAACAGTAGAATTTGTCTACAGTACAAAACAAGAGACATTTTGACAGTTCTATTTCAAGCAAGGGAGAAAACGCAACACTACACTACAAGAGATTGGCCACTACACCTCGCTACAAATTTCTACATCCTACAACACATCCACTGCACCTCACTACAAATCCACTACAGTCCGCTACAGCCCACTATACATCCACTACACTCATCGTGACCACTACAAAGTCACTACTAGGTCACTACAAGGCCACTACCGTAGTGGAAAAAGTGTAGTGTAGTGTTGCTTTTCCCCCCTTGTTTTCAAGACGCTAAATTGTTTAGGTTACAACATCTTTTTGTCTAGGCATGGGAGATAATATGTTTCCATCAACAATATTGAAAGATGGTCCACCACCAGGTTCACCATATAAAGATGTTGATGATCTTGTTTTGCATGCTGATGGTTTTGCCGGTGTGTATCCGGAACATAAATATGCAATCGTTGAACTATTACAAAAGATGGATTTTATGGTTGCCATGACAGGTGATGGTGTCAATGATGCACCGGCTCTAGCAAAAGCAAATGTTGGTGTAGCCGTTGCTGAAGCTAGTGATGCTGCGAGATCAGCGGCTGACATTGTTTTGACCGAACCAGGTAAATAATTTTGATTATTCATTTCTTTTTCATATTAGTTGCATGATGCCATATTTCTAGGTTTGAGTGTTATTATCGAGGCCATACTTGGTTCAAGACAAATATTTCAACGTATGAGAAATTATGCCATCTATACGTGTTCTGTTACAATTCGTGTTCTCGTTGGGTTTTCTGTACTTATATTTGCATTTAAATTTGACTTTCCACCATTTATGGTAAGTGTGAAGTCGCTTCTATACCCAAGCAAACATCACCTATGTGAAAAATCTAGATACATTTCGTCTGTAATCGGCCGATACACAACTAGTTATCATCTAGATTACTAGTTGGAAAAGGGGCTTTTAACTAGATGTGTCTGCGTGTGTAACTAGCAATAGTTAAATCGATAGTTGCAACTAGAAGAAATCTAGCAAACGCCTGATTACTAGATTTCCACTGTCGTTACCTAATAGTTGCAATCGAGTAAAAATCTAGTATATAGTAGTTATGATAAGTGAGTGATATTAATGATTTCGATTGTTGTCTTGTTTAGGTTCTTATATTAGCGATATTAAATGATGGTACTATAATGACAATTTCAAAAGATCGGGTCAAACCATCACCGTATCCGAATAACTGGAATTTATTTGAAATATTTACTTACGCTATTGTATACGGAATTTATCTCGCTGCATCAACCATTGCCTTTTTTGCCGTTGCCGTTCAAACAAATTTTTTTCAACACAAATTTGGTGTACCTCCTTTCAAGCGCGATCTTCCGTATTATGATTATAATAATGATCCGGTTTTACATTCCATCATTTATCTTCAAGTGTCAACAATTAGTCAAGGATTAATATTCATAACACGTTCACGAGGATTATTTTTTACTGAACGACCATCCGCGATACTTGTTTGTGCATTTATAGTAGCACAAATGGTGGCCACCTTCATTGCAGTTTACGCTAAATGGGGTTTCACCAATATTGAAGGTTGTGGATGGCATTGGGCAGGCAAGTTTTGAGTCTCTTTTTTGTGAGGTTTCCATTATAACTGTTTAGAACAGTTGGAGTTTTTATCCAAAATCAATGGATTTAGGCTGATTTGTTACCATCTTCTTTTCTCCTTACATGTATTTGTACAAGCAGACGAACTCACATAAAGAGTAGTAATTGCTTAAATTGGATAGTTAGGGTTAGGATTTTCATCATCATCATTGAGTTTCACATTTTTAGTAGTTTTTCGCTCACGCTTTTTTTGTTAACGGATTTTTTCACACAAAACTTGTGACGGAAAAGAATGTGTACATACGTGTGGATGCTCCAATCAGACTACTACAACTAAGTGATAAAACCTTTTTTCACTCGACTAGAAGAGCTGTAGTGACACTATTAACATATACTGAATTATGATATTGATCCTCAGTACTAGTCCTCAGAACGTCTATTTTCATGTCAAGTTTCATTGATCTGTTTACCAAAGACAACAATGGGAACGAAAAACTTTTGAATCTGTGTTGAAACTGCTGTTATATGTGAATTAGGCGGACAAAAAGAAAGAGATTAATGTCTGCTTGTGTGGGCGCTTATTGACTGACGCATTTTAAGGTGACACTTTTTTATGAATATAAATTAAACGGACGCTTTTTCTGCTACGTTTTACCATGAGAACGGATTTTCTTGTCTCATATCTTCTTCTATAAATATCAATTTCTGCCTTTTTTTCTCATGATTATTCTATTCACGGTTTTTATGTTTCACGAAGTTTTAATTCCGTGATTTTCACTTTTACGGGTATTCTCCAACTTTTATCCATGTTTCTCTTTAGGTATTGTTTGGGTTTGGAATATAATTTGGTTTTTTCCGCTTGATGCTGTTAAATTTGCATTACGTGCATATTTTGATCCGATACAAAAACGAGCGCTTGAAGAACTAACAAGCGAACCATCGACAGAAGCGCAAGTACAACGACGAAGAAGTACCATAGCTCGTAAGGCTTCCATGGCTGGTCCACCATCGAGACGTTCAACAGCTGGGGGTTCAGATAAAGCACAAGGACGTCGTGAAACAATGTCAATTGGAAACAAATATTACGCTCCACAGACACGTGTACTATCTACACAACATCATCATAGAAATTTTGCTCGATTATTGAAGTTAGACAATACGGCGGGTGTTTCAGTGGAACAGGGTGAATTAAGACGATTTTCAATTGTTCAGGTATGATGAATAACTGATTGTTAGCTAACTCTCCTTCTTACTAAGTGAAATATTCCAAACGATCACTATAACGGTCTATCCGCTGGCCAGTTTTAAACTATCAAAAACGTTTGTTAATCACAAACGGCATGCACTGTAATAAATAAAGTCTGTCCACTAGCGTGCATTCTACCAAGTACGCCATTTCGAGTCCAAAGTAATGTGCAAAATGTCACTGTGTAATCTGAATTTTTATCTTGCGTTTATCTACGGAAAAAAAACGGAAGAATTCTTCTTCTCTTTGGTCTTTTTTTCGTTCTGTCTGTGCAATTCCTGTGTGTTAGAGGCACAGTGGACAAGCCGTTTTCAGTGTGCAAAAACAGTCCAACGTGATGTGCACATTCAGTGTGTGCCCCGGGCACACTTTATTTTTTACAGCGCATGCACCGATTATAACCGATAAATTTCACCGTTATTTTCTGAAACGGATTTCATGAAAAGTAAACTTATGCATATTAAAAATTTTCTAACAAGTGGGTTTTGTACAGCAAACATTCTTTTACAAGATGAACTATGGCGGAAGTCTTCATGTTTTCTATTTCTGTCGCAATCGCTTGTAGAGGAAGAGCCCTAAATCGGTCATAACCGGTTGTTCGATTATAACCCATCGTGGGATTTTTCAGAATTCTTTTTACTGTAAATACTGGATCAAGATGAAGAATAGTTCATCTTGTAGAAAAATGTTGCTCTACAAAACCTAGTTGTTAGTAACATTTCAGAGAATCAATTTCGTTGAGATAAACTTTTTACGAAAAAAGTGCACCATTTCAATCTGTTATAGCCGCTGCATGCCTGTTTGTCATACCATTTCTATAGAGTTCAGCTAGCTCAGGTCGTCGAACAGTCTATTAATAGCACCTTTATGAGCATAGAGTACCTTCATTAATCGATTAACGAGATTGATTAATTCAAAAATTATCGTTTACAGAGTTTTTGAGCATGGTTTATGGTCGCAGACATAGATTGTTTTCGAACGGTTTGAAGAAAGTCTATACTTAAAATTGTTTAGATTGCTTAAGTTTCACCTATCACGGAGATATTTGGTAAATACTTTTATAACAAGCATCTGAAAGGAAATTGGATTTAAGTCCTTTAAAGAGTGGCCCGGAAGTCCTGTCTCATTCAGCATTTTCTCAATATCTGAGTCAAGGTTGATCGCCAAGTCTCAATCTTTTTTTTAAAAGAAATCTCATTCAATTCTCTACACAAAACATATTGAACATTTCTTTATATACTATAAAAATAAAAAAGTATAGAAGAAATACGGGAAAGCTTCAATATCGATTTTCAAACCCAAAGCGCAACCAAAAAAAATTATTTTGAACACGGTGCTATGCATCATAGTGGAATCGATATGTATTTTCTGGTGCTCCAGAATGTCAGCTTTCTTTTCTTTTATCACAAGTTCGCTAAAAACCTTTTTTTCTGCCAAAAAAGGAAAAATTTGCTTTCTTCGCCTGGCACAGTAAACGACCGAGATATTGGGAAAATATTGAATGAGACAGGACTTCCCTATAAAAAACGATTAATATGGTAGAGCCTGCTAACAAGCCTGCACATTCAGTTCCAACAGGCAAAATTCTCACGAGCAGACCTGTGCTGGTCTGCAGGGAACATCGTGGCAGACACTGTCACATACCCATGCTGCATTTTCTGCAGAGGTGAGAATTTTGCCTGCTGGCACTGAATGTGCAGGCTTGTTAGCAGACTCTGCCATATTAATCTTTTTTGCAGGGTTCTGGATCGGGTAATAGTAAAACATGAAGACACCCACAGACACTTATAGACACTCACAGACAGCACACAGATAGTTGGATGTCTGTGTATGGATGTTTGTGTTTGGATGTCTGTGTAGCTGTTTGTAGCTGTCTGTGGTTGTATGTGTGCTGTCTACGGGTGTCTGTAAGTGTTTGCGGGTGTCTATGAGTGTCTTCATGTTTTACTATTACCCTTCTGGACCACCCTTTATGTACAGTTTCGAACACTTTGCTTCAATCGATTACAATATATTTTTACTTTTAGGCACATCACGCATCAAAACTTCTTGGTGCAGGAGCAGCTAATAGAAGAACGACCACTGCAGTGTAGTCTGGATATGTATGATTGGGAGTGTCCCTCTCTGAACAATTTTTCTGTAATTTTCTGTGTGTGTAGAATTTTTACATAATCTTTATCTAACGCTTTTCTTGTTAATTTTTTTCGCACAAACATGCCTTATATATTTTTTTTGTTCTATTGTCTTTTGAAAGTCCTATAATATATGATTAATTCGGAAATCAGAATAATAAGTACAAGATATTGTATACGCATCGTCATGCTTTCCAAAGAGGGAGTCAATAACCGTTTAGTATTTCACAAATAACCTTTGAATTATAATATGTTAAGAATTAATACTATAAGTATCTTTCTATTATTAAACCAATCAGTCGACATTAAGAAATTAAATACCAGTCTTTGAAGATCCGAAAGAAGAAAGAATTACAATGCACTTCTGGAGAAAACACTTATCTATCTTTCAATCTGTGTAAATAACACTACGGTTACATTACGCAGATAATCACGATTATCTTTAATCGTGATTAAACTAGTAGTGTAATCGCTACTTTAATCACGATTATTTTAAAAATCATGAGTAATAATAATGGAATAATCATGTTCGGAAGATGATTATCTTTAATTCCGGTTAACTTTAACCGCCTCTATCAAAAAAAGGATCATGATAGCGGTGCTTGCATATGACTGCTCAACTGCAATAACTAATCAGCCTGAACTCTGTTTTGCTTACTAAAGAATTTTTCTGGCATTACTATACTCTGTTACAGATCGATAAATAATTAATTAATAATAATTTTATAAAACAGTTCGCTCCAAGATTTGAAATCTTTGAGTCTGGTAAAGTTTACACTGGCATTTACTAAGTATTTAAATGTAATGTGCGCAGTACATGGGGACGTAGACAAGAATTAACATCATACCTAAGTTTATCGTGAAGCTGACTACAACGTTTCTTGGAAATTTATTTTACGCGTAACATGAATAGGGATGCACCCGTTACGATTAACCGATGGGCGGTTGTAACCGTTACCGTATCCAGTAGCTACGACTGTCATAAATAAAAACAAAATGTAAAGAAAAATAACTCAAGAGCTTGAAATTTCTTAACCCAAGATCTTAAGTGAAAGATTCAAGAGTCCAAGATCTTGACTTCTTGGTGTTTTTTTTAAGATCTTGTGACATTTTTTGGCCAAGATCTTGGATACAAGAAGGTTCACTCGGATTGATAATGCACGGTTATGTTTCTTTGACGTTGGGTGAAAGAATTTTTTGTCACTATCAGATGAGTTAGATTTGTAGATTTAGAAGAAATAGAAACACTTGATAATAAGGACGAGCTTGAAGCAGACGATTGAGATTTCTTATGTTTTTTCACTTTTTTACGACGTGATGGTGAGTGATATCGTTTACGTCGTTACCGATCACGCGACGCTCTTGAAGACGGGCTTTCAGCATCAGAAGCTGAGAGCTCGACACCGCAATCGTCTTCATTGACATAATCATCATATTCCTCGTCTGAGGGTGCATCACACAGTGGACATATTTGGCTAGAGCGGGCGAACATGTAGTTTTAAACGATACAAACAAATGTAAAAATGATGAAAAATAGTTTTTCATAGGTTATCGACTATGCTCTATCTACCTGCGAAGTCAGAATGTGTTTTAGAAAACTTCACTAGGCTGTTTTTGTAGAAAATCCTAGTTTCGGTCAGACTTTGTCGAAATACGATATAAATATATTAATTCTCGCTGATTACAAGGAGGAGTATATTTTCTTGTTCAAAAATGGTTTTTAAACAAGGGACTGCGATAAGAACCTTTTTTGACTTAAAATTTTTGGTCATTATAACTTTTTTATATAAAATCACACGCAAGCGATTAGCAGCTGGATTTATGAGAGCACCAATTTTAGAGCATGCAAAAAGACAAATCAGAGTTAAAGAAAGTTTGTCATTCCCAAGTTTGAGACTCTGCTATTTTTTTTAATACAATTAAAAAAAACTGAATTTCGAATGAACGTTAGCCGTTGATATTTTACTTACATCAACGTTTCTCCTCCTCACCACGTAGAGGTCACCCTTCACAGAAGAGGAAAAAATTATCAAAGCAAGCGCATGCAAATCACTTTTTTAAAAACGAATCAAATATAGGAGCGTGCACAAAAATTCATTTCTATGATAAGAAGAGTAGAAAATTTAATCGAATCACGAAGCGAGCACAAAAATTCATCGCAAACCTTTAGGGAAAGAAAGTAAATTAACAGAGGCAAAACACGCTTATAATTCATGTCACATTTATCCTTTCATAGATATGCTCAACTAATAACATAGAAACTGCGAAGTGGTGAACCAGCCCTGATGTTAGGCGAATTACACCGAAGCTCCTTCGCACTTTCCATAAACCGACTCTATGGAAAAGTTTCAGTTTTACACTAATAATTTATTTAGAAGTGTATCATCCTCATTCACATTAGTCGATACTTGTGTACTACTTGCTCTTTTTTGTCTGAAATATCGATTTGATGCTTTCTATTAGTTTCCCAGGAAACTGATATGATTGCCTGAATAGTCACAAGAGATCTTTAACGGGTATAATGGACATAAGTGCCATAAGTGCCATAATAGACATAATCGGTATAATGGACATAGTGGACATAAGCGGCATAAACGGTATAATGGACATATTGGGCATAATGGGCATAATCGGCATAATTCCCGTAATCAACGTACTCGGGATAATGGGTATAATGAAATTCTCAACTACCAATAGAATTCAGGATTTGCAAAATTCTCGAATTCTCAAGTAGGAATAGAATTCTCTAGTTGTCAGCGAGGCTGTTACGCAAGATACTCATGTACTTTTCAATACTCCGGTCTAACGTCATAGTGTTTGCCATAGAAATGAGAGTATAT